GCACGCTAACAAGGGTAGTTGGCTTCTGCATCATCCGGCTCTGACTGTCATCCTGTCAAGCCCACAGGGTGCCTGAGCCCATCTTTAAGCACCAGTGCTGTCACATAGGCAGGCAGAGAGTCACATGATCTCACATACCGGGAAGTACCATGTATTTTCCTTGGGAACAACAAGGTAGCAAAGCAAAGAAGAGCATGTGCAGCTGGGGAGGGGGAATTAAAACAAACCTGGTGCTTCACTATGTATGCATTAACCACAGGTTGACTTCTCCATTTTTTACACGCTTTCTGCATTGTATTCCCATTACTGTGTTTTATACAGACACAAATCGATTTCTCCTGGACTGGCTCTTTGGGAGGGGTTGGGTAGGCTCATCACTGAGATTTGTCTATAACATCAGCCGCCTGTATTCCTGGATCTAATGATGGTTTAGGACAAGCCGTTTTCACTGAAAGCGACCTCCCGCTTGCCTATTATTTCATAATATGCTCAGTTTGATTTGCCCCAGTTTCTGGCAATCTCACTTTAACTATAGAAACCGGTGTTTGTGTAATTATTCCGCTCGCTGAAAGCCGTAAGCACAAAAACACAAATTCTCCAATTCGAAAATCAACGGCTTTTCCAATGAAACACTAGCGATGTTTTAACTGCTGCAGCGCTGGAAAGCATTGGGGACCGCGGTCCTGAAATGGTTCACAGACACACTGCAGCGGAATGCTTGATTTTTTTCACTTCTTCGGGAATTTTTATATCCATCTTAATCCTTAGAGAGGGATCGGAGGAAGCAGGCGGCTCCAAGCTACGCTTTCCTCTTCCGACAATATACTTTCTTCTCCAGATTGGCGTGGGCCCATTTTCTGCATCCTACCCGCTCAGCCCTGGCAGTGGAACTTGACTGGCCTGCACAGAGTCCTGACCTCAACCCCATAGAACACCTTTGGGATGAATTAGAGCGGAGACTGCGAGCCCGGCCTTCTAGTCCAACATCAGTACCGGACCTCACAAATGGTCAAACATTCACATAGACACACTCCTAAACCCTTACTTTATCCAAACTAATACAAAAAAAGTTTTGGCATCACTTCTTCTTTAAGCTGGGCGAGGGAAGATCAGGACCTGGTGCCAATCTGGTGTCCTGCTTTTAAATGTGCTATTATTACAGAACATGTGGATAGGAGTAAATAGCAGAGAGATGACCCTGCTCCCTGTTTCTGTATTATCCTTTTTCTGCTCCCTGGCTGTCCAATCACAGGATGGGGGCGGGGTGACCAGGCTGTATTGTTAACTGCAGTAAAGAAAAGTAAGGTCAAAAGGCAGGGCTGTGTTAATCTTAGGTTTGGATGCACAGCAATTGAAATCCTTTGGCAAGTGTGACATTTCCCTTTTATGCATTTAACCTTTAATAAACAGTGGAGCCACCCTGAATCTTTATTTTTTAATCCATTCCGGACGGTAATGGAAGCTGCGACAGACTGCGTATGATCAATTTATTGACTGTCCTTTAGTAAATCAGGTCTGTAGCATTTTGTGTGTTGTATAATGTTACCCATTTATGTTTTTTTAGTTTTGCTATTGGTGGATATCATGATATGTCACCCAATTGGCCTTACAATAACACCGCCCCATGCTGAAATCTACCAGCAACCCCCATCTTAGTTCTAAAAGCTTCAGATTGATTCGCCGAGCACACATAAGAGGAAATGACTAATAATGAAGGTGCAGTACATGATGGCTGGAAGAATAATGGATTCCTTCCTATAATATACATGAGAGTGATCCATTATTATAGCAGACGGCCTCATCTTATCCTCTCCTCTCGTCCAGTTCCTTTTGTGCCTTCCTTTGTTGCTCCTAAGCGCATTGCTGTATCATGTGACCGCGATCTTTCATCCACCCGGCCGTAGTATATTCTAGGAGAGGCAGGCAGGCTCCCTACGTCTTTCCTATTTAGACTCCACTACAGTCTGTGCACTTGTTAGACTTGTCAGCGGTAAATGCCAACTGCACACCGAGAAGAGATATACAGGGGATCACTGCAGCTGCCCACAGCGATAAGGATTGCTCTGTAGTTATGCGGTATTCCATCCATCCACGGCGAATGTCGGCTGCCTGGGGAGTAAACGCGAATGGGGATCGCTCTGCAGCCATCCGCTGTGATAGGGAAGGTGTGATGACTGATTACAAGGAGCGATACCCCGCGCAGAAACTACAGAGGTGACAAATATCCTCTGATGCAATGAAAAATATACATCAATATTTGGGATTGGCATTAGCAGGTTAGAGCACGCCATGAGCATTGTAACTGGCAGCGCTTGGGTTTTGTGTTCAGTTCACTCCTAACCTACATAGAATTCCATTGCTTGTGTAGATGGGAGGCTTTTCTTTCCTCCGATGATACAAAAGGCACATTAGTTGTTTTCCACCGGCAGTGTTCCTATGTGCTAATTCAATAGGAACACTGTTCTGTAAATGCCTGTGGGGCGGAGCTATTCTGAATTAATTATATATATATTGTGGCAGTGCATGGCTATGCCACGGTGTAGTATGGCAACTTAGGCGGCCAGGACTCTCAGCCACAGGGGCTGAGAGGTTCCACAACGTGAATACCTTTGGAGAGGAGGAACTGGCTGTTCTGGACTTATTAGAAAGATTTGTTTTGTCTGGTGATGGGTGCCAGACAGAACAGGAACAGGAAGAGAAGTCCCTTCTATGGGGTCATGGACAGAATATAAAATCTCACTTTAAAATGGGGATCAAGACAGCAGTCAAATCAGTAATGAGGTTTATGTAAAAAAAAAAAAAGACCATCGGGGTTATTCACAAAAGGGTTTGGAGAATGCAGGGGAAGTGAACAATTTAGGACAAAATAGCCAATTTGGAAAAAAATCTCCAATTCAGCTCACTTTTCAGTTCAGCGATGTTGTCCTAGATTGTTCACTTCTCCTGCCGTCTCCAAACCCTTTTGTGAATAACCCTGTAAAAATTAGACATGTGCGATTCAAGTACTCGCCCAAACACTTGGTATCGGCACCAATACCAATTGTAGTAGTATTGGTGCATCCCTACCAGTCACCCTGCACAAGTTGATAGAGCAGCGGTGAACGGTCTTTATTTAAAGTGCACTAAGGGGCTCAGGGAAGGTGCACTTCTAAAACCGGGCCATAGCTGAAACCAGATAACTCTTCCGCACTCTGACCAGAGCTAAGTAACGTTGGGATGTAATGAGATAACTCAGATTCAGGCTCTTCAATAGCCAACACCACTGGTGCTGTCCAAGGTGCTGAAATCGTTCCAGGTTCCCGACTCTTCTCTGCAGCCTTTCCCCCCGCGTAGACCATACCTGATGCATGCAGACAGAACTTTGACTGACGCTGCCATTTATTTACATTGAAAAGCTTGTTTTACTGTATACATTCTCTGAATACATTACGAGGGAGACACATCACCATATCTACTGTTGAGTGGCACGCGCTGTCTCCCGAGCCGCATACTGATCATCCATTTATATAATGTACAAATGCACTCCACCACTCAGCATGATTGAGCCGACTGATAGACGCTGACTTTGAAATCCTTGTGGATGTCACGCCAGCAGTTCTTATCACTTAAAATGAAGACTGGCCCTTTAAGGTATGTCACCCATCAGTCAGTTTGCTGCAACGTTGGAACGTGTTTAATATACTTCTCCGAAAAAGGGATTACAAACGGTGTCTCTAAGATTGGAGGACTACACGTCCATTAAAGCTGAACTCCGGGTAGATGCAATTAGTTCAATTATTATAACACTCCGGTTCCCTTTCAGTCTTGCACAGTTGTACCGACTCCTCTCCTGGACTGAAATTGTTTATTCTGTTTTCACTGCACACTTTGAGCTTCCCACAATATACATTAGAAGCTGCAGCAAGTCAGATAGAGCCCGCCTCATTTCCTGGCTGGATGGCATCCAACATCATCTGACTGTCCGTGCCCCTTTCATTCATTGGGTTTCAGTCCTTTCAATCATAGGGTTTCAGCATCACATGTTGACATTACCTAAAGGCAGATTGCAACCTGCCTAAGATGGAACGTTCCTCCAGTGACATCCACTCATCGACATCTT